TGTAATATCAGTTTGATTATTTTGATGGTACCCTTTAGACAGCTGTTGATAAGTAACTCTGCAACTACATGTCAACTAGCAGTCATTGGAGTGTTAGTAGCATGTCTGCTAAATATATGCTAACACTTTATTTTGATGGTTCCCCAACAGACAAACTGACTATAAGTAACTTTGCAAGTACGTCAACATTCTACCAACCCTAACCTTAACCTAAGCCTACTAATACTCTAATGAGAGTTAGTTGACATGTAGTTGCAAAGTTGCTTATAGACTAGGGGGACCATGAAAATAAAATGTAACCTAACATATAAACATCGCTTTTTTTTTTCAGTTGAAATTAACTAGTTCACATCAAAATTAATATTAGCCTCACAGGGAACACTCAAATAACACTCCACACCTAACCACTTACAAGATGTAGTAAGATACTGTGCAGATCTTAAATAAACAATGTCAAGATATATAGTCCATTATAAATGTAAAAATAGATTTTATATGGTGTTCATTGTGTGTTATAAATAATCATAATCTTAAAGCTTATAACCACAAATGCGTAAGCATTATAATGTATTATAATTGTTATGATTATTTATAAGATGATATAACATATTATAAGGACTTTTATAATGCATTATGCATTCATTATAATGCCTTAAGAATACCCTTATAATGTGTTACAAATATGGGCTTCATAGAAAGTGTTACCCAATTTTTAAATAATGTTTGTTTTGAGGTGATGAACTTCATGAAATCGACATGATCTAGGAGGCTTACGGACATCTTGATTGCTGCTGATGTTTCATCGCTAAGGATGAGAAATGCTCTTTACCTCTGTTTCACATATATTGTCATGTGTTTGCATGGCATGTTGACAGAGACACAGTAGATGTCTTGGATACACTATGGGTGGTGTTTGTTGCACAGTTCTACCTAAATGAATCAAAAAGTCAAGAAGCAAAGTAGAGATTGTCAAATTTGCTGTGGAATTTATACTTGTAGAATTACTGATTTTTGGTTGTTTAAGAAACCGAAAAATCCGAAACTCCGCTCTCAATCATAATCAAAATTTCTGCTTAATTATTAAAAAAAGTGAATTTTATGCATATGATCTGTGTAATTTCATGTAAAAACACTACAGTATGATTAAGGTAGTGGCTATCATCATATACTGTAGTTTATCTATTGCCTGGTTAATGTGTGACCTAAAATACTTTATGTCCCATATAATATTAGGTGGGCCTTCGAAACAAATGCCTCGTAGCAATATGAAGGTTGATTTAATTTTGATAAATGAGTTTATCTGTACCATTTAACCTCTGTTTTAAGGGGTTCTGCTTCCTGACTCACAGTTATCAGTAATTGCTTGTGTTTAGCGAGTGATTTTCCATTGAATTTGCTATGTACTGTTCACAGGTTCAGTGGGAAGTTGATACCCTGCAACATAACAGTATTGAGGCATTATTTTGTGTTCTGTACACCACTTGTGGTTACTTTTTATTAAAATTTAGTGGTGTTAAGAAGAATTGTGTTTGTGGTTTTTAGAGGTCAACCACCAAAGGATGTAGCTGGTGTAACCTTTCAAAAGTGTATCATGGTATCTATTTCCATCAAAATACTGCAGGATGTTTGAAATTGGAATTGATTGGATCTATAATGTCTGTAAATGTCCACAGAGAGCCAGAAAAGAGCCAGAAAAAAGCCAACACTTGGAGTCTTTAGGAAATTTAGAAATCACCTGCCAGGACATACATGGGAAAAAGAGGCTATATGGTCACCCTACTTTAGGTAAATAACATGGCTTTAGCCACCACTTCAATCAAAAAAAGTAAAATGACAAAGGTTCAAAAAGCTTCTTCTATTTTTGGTATTACATTAGTAACAAATGTATTTAGCTGGAAGCATTGAGATCAATTTTAGTTGACCACTATGCATGCAATCTCCAGTTTCGAGAAATAGGGCGACCTCTAGTGACATTCTGCTGGTTGTGACAAGCTAGACTTTATTATTATTAATTGATGTCAGTCTTAATGGAACTGAATCAATTGTGCCATTTTCATGCACTGTAGAAATGATCAATTAAATTTTTCTTTGATTGAATAGATCTAATGGAGGCAGTCCTGCTTTCCTCCTGTATTCACAGATGTCCATTTGCTGTCCAGCGCAAAGTGGTTTTGTGTCAGCGAAGTATTTGTACGAGTCTAGAAGCCGAATAATGGCAGAATACACAGGCCGGTCCTTGAAGTTCCACATGCAGCAGTACTTTATTAAGTCATACCTGCAAGACATGCCAGAAAATGTCATTTATATGTTGTTTTAACAGGATTTTAGATTTTCTTAAACACTTGCTGTTCATAGAGGAGCAAAACAACTATTTACATGTTATGTAAAATATAAGGCTTACAATGGGGCTCCACAGTTTTCTGGTCTTTTCATTCGGTAATGGGCTAAAGTGTTTGGCAGCACTTCAGATGGATCCAGGTCAGGATAGGGAGGAGACCCTTTCAAAGGAGAAGAAAGGTAAAAATAAGACTCCTATCTTGTTTGCTTCATTGTATTTTTTTATACATTTTTTTTTCAAGTGACAACTGGTGTATTAGGACCTCTAACTAATACTACCCAGGGTTATCATCTCATAAAGCAGGATTCCAAAGGACCATCTGAAGAAGTACGACAGCACAACATTAGCACATTGGTCAAAGTGCAGTATTTGTTAGAACATTTTTGTTGTTGTTGTTTGAAGTTCTGATTGACTCACACATCACTTCTGTCTGTTAGGGGAAGCCTCATCATCCGTTCAGGGGCCTTCCATTTTACTGGCACATTGGCTTCTTGTTCTTTGTCCACCGTTCTCGACTGTCGGCTCTTAAAAGCCAAATCCAATCCAGAGACTTTCACAGAGAGCCCTGAACCAATCAGCATGTTCCGGGCTGCGACATCCCCATGAATAATTCTGTGGTAGGAGAGTAAATAGTCCTAAGAAAAATCATTAATAAATCATTTAAAGAATTTATACATGTCTTACAGTTGATTTTTGTTTTACTAAGTATGTGTACACATTGGCTAAACAACTCACCAGTCCTGCTGCTACCTGTTTAGCTACATGATAAACGGATCTCTCTGAAAACATCTGGAAATTATCACTTGCGCCACATCTGTCCTGTTCAGTAAGAGTTACATTCAGAAGAAAATTGAGTTATGAGATGTATATTCTTTGTCAACATACACTCTAAAAAGGAACAAATGGGGTGGGCTGTCACTGGGGTGAAACCCTAAGGTAATACAGCTAAATTTATTTAATCATTAGTATGCTGTATACTGTAGGTGTTTTTACCTCTCGAAGACTCCAGAGAAAATGCAGGAGGTTCCCTGGAACGCTTGCCTCCAAAACCAGGTACATGGGCATCCGGCGTGTCTGGCAGTATAACATCTTGACTATATTCTCATGTTTGCTCACTGCTACGTGGAAAAGGACAAAATCCACAAATTCAGTGGCCTCTGGTTGATTTGACCCTTCTGAAACAAGAAGATATATCCAACATTTGTAGTTTTGTGGTAAATTCTTAGAAGACACCTTTTCATGATTGATTTGTGTTCTGTACCTTTAAGAGTTTTAATCACTACAGCAGTGGATGTGCTGTCTTGTTTTAGCTGACCCGTGCAGATTGGCCCATAACGTCCCATCTGAAACGGCTCCACCCCCTCCAGAGTGCACTGAGCAGGTATCTCCCATGGATCCAGAGCATCCTGTGCAGGCCTCATGTTCACAAAGCCTGTGTCCAAAGGTACATGGTCCCCTTCTAAAAGTTGATTCAACATATTATTTCTCATGATTTGCCCTCAAAAAACCAAGCACCAAATATTTGGCATCTAATATTTGCATTCAAACAACATGATAGATAATTTTTCCTTCACATACCATTTACATTTGAAGATGAACCTGTGATAATCTGAGCTGATGATCTTTTGGTAATAAAGCTCCATATTATCTGAGAGACAACGATCAGGGTGCTGAGAGCCAGCAAGCTTGGGATAATGATGACTGCCAATGGACCTGATCCTTCTTCATCTGTCCATTCATGCAAACACAAAGCAGAATTTTACCCTCGTATAACAGCAAATGTGAAAGCATTAAAAGTATGTTAGACTTGATTGTAAGTACTGAAAGAAAAATAGACTCTTACAAGAGATTGGGTCAGAGCCAGAGGAGCTGTTGCATTGGGCCTGTACAGCCATAAGGGTGTCCCTTTAACATTTCCAAAACTGGCGTGACAAATGACATGAGCACAATCATTTCAATAGAACGATCTTTCAAAAATACAGCATGTATGTTAGTAGAACTGAAGTGAAAGACTTTGAGGACCTTTGAGGATCTAAATATCTTCTGTCTCTTGCTCCAAGCATGTTTTCTTTGCTGTATACATATTGCAGCTATGTGTGTGTATATTGTGAGTGCATGTCATCCTTACCTTACCGGAATAAAGGTGGAAAAGAATCTTTTGGGCTGCTTTTGGTAGAAGCGACTTGTTTGAGCATAAGGTTTGATTTTGACTTTGAGAGCAATGACCGTGAGGGTGACGGACTGCCCACCTGACTTAATGATTAACTGAAGTACAGAACCATTTTAACTGTTGCCATGAGTGGTTTGCTTTTCTGAATTGCAATCAAATTCAGTATGTTGAATATTTAAGGTTTTTGTGTCTATTTTTTAAATAAGGGAATTTTGAACACATTTATAGAGGAAAAAATTTTGCTTTTATTTTGAAGTGAATAAGTAAATTTAGACTCTTGGGGTCAGATGGCCTGAGAATTGTGACAAAGTGGGAAGTTGTTACGAGTGTTGATATTTTTAATGTAATGTCTATTGTAATTTATGGAGTTATTATTCAGTAATTCAGTAATTTAAACTATAGAGGAATTGATTGAAATCATTCGATTTTAATTCATAGTGCTGCTAATGCTATTACATATCTAGAAAAATATGGCCAATTAATATTTATTTATTTCATTTCATTTCATTTATACATTCTGTTAATTTTTTTCCGATGGTAAATTCTTGCCAGTAGTGAGCGGTAAGAAACATTTGCTAATTTTGTTGTCATAGCGCGAAATGTAAAATTATTCAATTTCTATTGCCTCATCATTTTGCACATACTGAACGTTTGTCTAAATATGCTATTTAATAAAACATATAAATGTACATTGTTGTGGGGCATCTTCACAAGTTACCCTACTCTATGCACCGAGTGCAATTCTATACTACAACAGCAGGTGGCACTATTTTACAACATTATGTCTGGAAGCTTAGTTTTAATCTGATTTTAACCCCTGATACGAAGACTGCTATATAGTAGTATTTAATTGTGCTGTCTTTCTAAAACTACTCATAATGCAAGAAAGAAATGGCATTTTGATATTGTAAATAACACTATATGTATACAAAAATCATGCTGATGTCCAAAAATGTGTAACAGGTGGTGTGAAATTACAAGGTACTGTATATGCACAGCCGTTCAACATATGAAACCATAATAACAGAACAATATATTATGAAATTGTTCATTTATTTTCTTTTACATCCATGGATCAGTGAAGTGGAGAGCGTTTAAATAGAAAGATTTATATAGGTAGATAGGCCTATATAACATAATTCAAATTCTATTTCACGGATTTTCTAAATTAAACTCAAAAACTTTACACTCACAAAAGTGGTTTCACCATATGTTCTATTAATTATGGTAATTTTATTTGTTTTCATGTGAAGCACACTTTGAACTGCATTTTTGCTACACAAATGCAACACAAATAAATTATTATTTATATTATGAAAACAGTTATAAAGTTTCACCATGAAAATCACTGAGGGTCTGTTGGATTGGTTAAGACTCTTAGGAGGGTTTGATGACTGTAAAGCTTAAAAAACCCTGGTTTACACTTACTATCATCTATATATAGGCTAAACTCTAGTGTATAAAGACTCTGTATGAGCACATTTACTTTTAAGGCAGCAAGTGCAGTTTTCCTCAACATATAACTTTTCTTTAACAAATTCCCTTCAGGCCTGGCAGCATGGCAAATGCTTTTTACGTTTAGTATTGTAAATAGTATGGGAAAGCCCGCCCCCTCGCTCTGATTGGCTGCTCTGCTCTCGTCCGCTCTGCATTGGTGTCGGTGTGCGCCTCTGACAGTCGCTGCTCTCGTTTGGCGCAAGTAACAAGGTGAAAATGACTACAAAGTTGCAAAGCTGCGCCTACAGTTAATCACCGACGGGCGCTGACAGCACCACACAGACAACAACAACCCACACAAGAGGGCGTTTCTGCAAGAATCAAAGGTCGTCGGATAGTGGACCTAATTTGTATCGTGTAGGCTATTCCAGATCCAGGTACAGTGTTGTTCGTTGTTTCCCGTGAACGCGCCGGTTGCTTATGTCATTGGAACAGGTGCGCGAAACCCAAGTTAACAACAGTCGCCCTACATCGCGAGGGATTACACACGGATGCGAGTGTTTTTCTACGGCGTTTCATTCATCAGCCGGTATTACGAAGCGATTTGAGGCTGTATTATTTTTATGTGCCTGGATAAAGTAAGCTGTTCAGCCTCGGGTGGTAGTTTATTGCTATTTCCGTGTCTTTTCCTCCTAGAAAGCGCTTGTTTGGATCGTTTGAAGACGATATTTGGCGACACTTCTTGGTGAGCGGTGAGGTCTACCATAGATTTTGTCAAGGCAACGAAGAACCCTTTTACCTTCGTGTGAGCTCGTGATTCAATTCAGATGAATGTACATGAATTTTGACTGAACCATAGAGGGAATACATTTCAAGGACCGACCGACTTCGAAGTTTTAAAACGTTTCTTTTTTTCACCAAGACATGGGAATGGAGTCGCTTTGCTTTATTGCGCTCTAAACGCGTTTGCATAAGGAAATAACCAGTTTTTTTTTAAAGACTCGTTTACTAAAGGGATTAATCATGTCCAAGACGCTGAAAAAGAAGAAACATTGGTCCAGTAAAGTGCAGGAATGCGCCGTTTCGTGGGGTAACGCCGGGGAACTCAGCGCCGTGCTGGAGATACTCGGGGGAGCCGAGCACGGAGAGTTCCCGCACCTGGGACAGGTGTTGTCGGACGCGTTAGTGTGCCATGTCGGCAGACTACCTGGTCCTGGAGACGTGCTTCTGGAGGTGAAGGGCACGCCTGTCAGCGGACTGACAAACCGAGACACCCTCGCCGTCATCCGCCACTTTCGCGAACCCCTCCGTCTGAAGACTGTAAAGCCAGGTTAGTTTGTTAATTGCTAAAACCTAGTGAGCTACCGACCGAGACAACAGTTTGTCACACTACACTGAACCCGAGGTTTCCTTTTAAAACCTGAGTAAATGCAAGTTTTAAGCCTGTGTTAAGCTATGTTTCATATTTGTAATTTTGAAAGAGGATTAGCGTCGCTTTGCACTGCTTGTGCTTGAACGTTAAGATGTTGTTTAGCGACAGACAACCAATCACGAACTGCCTCAGTGCCCAACATATTAAATATTCATAGACTTTGTACAGTCTGAGAAACTTCGACGCGTTGTGTCGTGATAACTGGAGTGACGATCAGCTGAAATTGAATTCGTTTCATAATTTATTTTCCTGTTTATTGATGTGAAGCTGCTTTGAAACATTCTATTCTGTAAAGCGCTATTTAAGTAAATATGACTTGACTAGATGATAAAACACAACCAGAGAGGATCTGGATGGCGAAATTCCCACGCAGATATACAGTGGGTACGGAAAGTATTCAGACCCCCTTAAATTTTGCACTCTTTGTTATATTGCAGCCATTTGCTAAAAAAAAATTAACTTAAATGATTTTAGCAAATGGCTGCAATATAACAAAGAGTGAAAAATTTAAGGGGGTCTGAATACTTTCCGTACCCACTGTATGTGACCCCGGAACACAAAAACATAAGGGTCATAAGGGTCAATTGTTTGAAAATGAGATTTATACATCATCTAAAAGCTGAATAAATAAGCTTTCTATTGATGTATGGTTTGTCAAAATATTGAGAAAATCGCCTCTAAAGTTGTCCAAATGAAGTTCTTAGCAATGCATATTACTAATCAAAAATTAAGTTTTGATATATTTACGGTAGGAAATTTAGGAAAATATCTTCATGGAACATGATCTTTACTTAATATCGTGATGATTTTTGGCATAAAAGAAAAATTGACAATTTTAACCCAAACACTGTATTGTTGGCTATTGCTACAATTATACCTGTGCAACTTATTTCTGGTTTTGTGGTCCAGAGTCACATATTATAGCCCTGTCATTTTATTGACCTGATAAATATGCAAATAAGAATGCTAGCTCATAGTTACAAATGTACAGTGTGAAATATGGAACAAGATAACCGGGGTAAGAACTTTTCAGGTAAAGAATGAATAGTTAGGCAGCTCTCAGGGTTTTAGCCAATATCAACCTTGTGCTCTTTTACTAGCATTTGCTTATAATTACGCAGTTGGCATTTTGATTAAATGGGACTCTCAAGGAAAAAGTGGATTTTAACTGAAGCCATTTATCACAGTTACCACAACAGGAGGAAATTGAGACTATCCATCATGAGGAAGTTTTGGTACCACTGGATGCTTTCTGTTTGTGGGTAACCACAACGATTTCATTAATCGTGTAGCTGGTAGACACTTTTACTTTCTATCGAGACTTCCAAGGTTTATTTAAGCTGCTAAAGCCAGGTTACAAGTGTTTACAGGTTTAAGGGACTCTTTATCTTGTGTTTTGAAGAGAAATAATGAGGATTTACAAAAGGCAGCGGAGACCTGAGCTTTCAGGACAGGTGAGGATCAGAGGCCGTAAAATACAGACAGAATTCTATCATGTTTCTAACCGAATCTCCATGGTTACTGAACAGAAGGTAGGAATCTAGAATAACGTCGCATTATTGTGAAACCCGACCCGTCTGTGGATTGTGATCGTATTACAGAAACATCCTAACTCAGAATCCTATCTTATCTGTTTTAGTCACCAGAATTTCGGTTACGATCGCACTTGTCAGATCTTAACCTTAAGAATTAAGATTTCAGGAATGTGACTCTGGATTATATAAGAAGTTAAGAGCGAACGAGTGCTTTTTTTATTGTTCTTTTAAGAGTGTGTGACCCTTTAGCATGTATATGTGTGCATAGGCTAATGGCATCATTATAAGTTGATGCAGATGCTATAGGTATCCATTCGGCTGGGAATTCTGTAAACTCTTTTAACATTTAGAGCTTTGAACTTTGTGTATGTAATCCTCTTTGCCTGCAGCACAGATGTCGTCTGACTTCCCAGCCTCCCCCTTCGCCCACTGTCCACCTCATTTAGCGTGTTAGCCTGCCTGAAGGATCACCATTCGACGACTTTATGCCATTTTACTGCTCTTTTGGAGATGATTTTAATCAGAGAGCTTTATGTTGCTATGGGCACTCTCTACGTCTGTTTATTTTGGGCTTGCAAATGAAGTAGAGTGGATTACCTAATATGAAAATGTAGTTCTCCTCGCATTTCCTAATCAGTGTAAATTGGCATTAGTGAACGGGTTAGCATCAGATGTCCCTTACTGATTATTTTAACGTAGTGTGAGTTTGTTAAAGCTGCCAAAGCCTGCAGCTTTGAACTGAGTCCAAGTCTAATTGATTCAATTACTCTCTTAAATCTGTGCAATGCTGTCTGGCTCGTGACTCAGCAAGAGGACTGGACACCTGAAAGCTTGTATGATGTTTGAAATGGACTGTGTTGCTAAAGTATGTTGTGGGGTTACTTTAAAAAAAGAAAAAACACACTTGTGAATAGTTTTCTTATAGTTGCCTATGCATATTAAGCTAAGAAGAGAAAAAAGTAGGCTGTTTTAACACATCATGATTGGTCACTATCTGCTATGATTTTATCTATTGGATCATCTTTATTTGATATTTGGATATTTGATATTAGATATTTATATTTACAGGCACATTTCCTATGTCTTTACATTTGCCGTCTTAAAAGATCTTTGTGATCTTTAGCAAATCTCAGTTAATACCCATTTTTTTATACTGTACTTTAGAATGTTGTGTTCTTAAATCAGGGTTATTATAGTTACAGTAAGTAAAATTATAATGAAAACCATAAAAAATATTTTCATTAATTGAAATAAAATAAAAATTAACTAATAAAAACTGTTGACATTAAAAAAAACTGATAAAAATGACAAAAACAACTAAATTATTAAAACTTTAACTAAAACGAAATAGTCAAAATGCTAAAAACTATAATAGTATATAAATTATATTAAAATAACACTGATTTAAATTTCCTTGTAGCCTTGTAAAATAAAATGATTAATTTTAGTTGGTAGATTTATTTTTTTGTTTATATCTCCAAATTTTATTGGACAGAACATGACACTAATTATCGATATCAACTAGAATTTTAATATTCAAATAAAATCCAATTTTGTTTATAAGTGTAGTAACAACAGTATCTGACCACTGTGACATTCAGCCATTCTAAAATAAACATCACAATAATTGTAAATATATTGTATGTAACATAATATAGACCACAATCTAATGAAAAGAGGAGTCAGTCAAACAATTATAAGAGGTTCTACTTTCAGACTCTAGGGACAGGTATAAGCCTGCACAAAAAAAAAAAAAAAAATCATATTTACTTCTAAAGAAAGATCAACTGCGTTTCTTAAATGTTCCTGCATCAGAGGCCGTGTCGTGTACTGTATGTGTGTGTGTGGCTGAGTGTTTTCTCTCTGTCCTTCAGTTTATGTTTAATTCATACCATCTCAATCATTGATGAGTCCATAGAAGAGTCCAGCTCAAAGGGATCAGATGGTACCAGGAGACCATTTAGCCTTAAATTCGAGCCACAACTAACACTGGCTGAGTGCTCTACACGGCTGATATGAAGCTCAAGGGCCTTCATCCTGTGGCCGGGCTCAAGGCTCCTTGGCCAGTCTAGAGAGCTCAGCAGAGCTGCTGCTGGCATTTATACCAACTTTAGTTGGATGAATTGGTTGCAAAGGTGTAAAAGGTGTAGCATGGTAAAGTCATGGTCAAGTGGGGCTCAAGACAATAAGGAAACAATTGAAGGAAACTGTGGAAGGAAGGAAAATGTAAAGTTGAAGTTTGAAGGGTCTAAAGTAAGCCAGGATAGTTTGCCATGTGTCGGTGAGTTTTCTGTGCTGATGAGCGCACATTTACCGTGCTTCTCCTTATCGACTGTATCCTTTCCTGCCCAGTGGACTTGTGGCTCATGCTCATATTTTCCAGTCTTATCTATTCCATGGCGTGAAGCTTCTTGGCCTCCCAACAAATTCACTCGAACCTGTCATGTCCTCTTCCGTTTTTCCTGTTCTTCACCCCCAGACCTTTTCTGCCAACCCTCTCACAAGCAGTAGTGTCCAAAAGACCACACTGAAAATATGGTTTCTTCACAATTCTAAAATCCAGGTTTAAAACAAAGAAATGTTATGACATAATGTGGCTAATAAATATTTACTATTTTGCGCATTTGTGAAGACCAGGGGGAATTCAGTTAAAGTTCTAAGAGGTCCAGCCTGCTTCTTTTTTTCCCAGTGGAGGCCCAGGCAATACCTTTTTGCAATGGTAATACATTTACATGTGGACAGCAATAATACTTTGTAAAATCCTAAATAAAATGATCCTCAAGGACAAGGATTTTGGAGCTTAAGCAGAGGTGTCTGAAAATCTTCTACAACAAATATAAAGTGAAGTGCATTTGGAGTTGCATATTAATATTAGGTGATATTCTACAACAGCATAAAAATATAAATTAACCTGAATGCTTGTGGTGTGTATAGCTACGTTGTTTTGACATGCTGTGGAAATTGTAAGCCAGGGTCTAGGTTGGTAACCTTTGTTGTAGACATGTGTACAATAGATTTTGTAGATTTTTGTTTGTAATATTATGTGAAAAATGTGTTGGAAAAAAAGTGCATTACTTTGCAAATAAATTTCTGTTAGCAGTCTCTGATTTTTTACCTTAATACTTGCAAAATAGATAAGTAAACTGATTTTTAATATTGAACACATTTCAGTGCTTAAAGGGATAGTTCACCCCAACATTTTCCAAACCTGTATGAGTTTCTTTATGTTGAACATAAAAGAAGATATTTTGAAGAGTGCTGGTAATCAAACAGTTGATGGTCCCCATTGACTTCCATAGTATTTCTTTCCCTACTATGGACGTCAATGGGGACCGACTGTTTGATTCTTCAGAATTCTTCTTTAAAGTATCCTCTTTTGTGTTCAACATAAGAAAGAAAACAAAAATCTGTGACATTTACGGTAAAATACCGGCAGCTGTGGTTGCCAGAACTTCACCGTAAAAAATATGGTAGCAGCATTTTAGGTTTTACAGACTTAACTTAAATTCACAATAAAATACCGTATTTCATTAACTGATGTAATGTTAATAAACCAACATATTGAAGTACTAATATTTGTTTTGAACCTTT